TCTAATTCCTTACAAAATCTCACGTTCCTTTCCTTTTCCTTCATCTCTCCCCTCGCTCTCACTTTTTGTGTGTGTTGCCATTTTGATGAGGGGGGTGCCCCCGTCTGTGCTTCCCCCATAGCTACGCCCCTGACTTGAGATGTATTGTAAATACATATTCACTACATTTTACGTATAGGATAGCAAAATAAAATGTTTAAGTGGTGATTTCAACAAAAGATTATGAGTAAGCGACAGGTATACGCTTCTTGTGCAGGTGTTTTCTTTGTATTTCTTTTAGACACCCTGTATATATAAACGCGCGTTTATGCCAATACTGCGTGTGAAGAGTCAAGTTGTATGTCTTGGTATGTGAGGTGAAAGAAAACCATATGTATTAGACACTGGTTTCATTGACTGCATTGGCTGCACGATGACCTGTATTTAACGCATGAAATGATCCGTATTTGGTCGTTGTTTGATGCTTTTGCCGTACATTGCATATTAGTGCTTCTAAACGTTTGAACGTTTTGTAATCGGATAACACACTTCATATGACGTTTCTTCATGGATGTTCCTCTCTTGTGAAAATGGTGTGAGAATCATGCTCGAGTAAGATGAAATGAGAAGCTATCCAGTCATTCCATTTTCAAACTTCTTGAAAATTAGTAATCTTCAATTCCATCTAATTGACGCAGCAGATTAATACAATTTCGAGCAGCCTATATGGTGTTTTTGTTTGTACTTACTGAAGTCAGATTGAGTATGATATCTCAAATTGGATATTAATGGTGTCTACAAACTGAATCATTCCACACAAGATGGACTCGTCAAGCCCAGAAGTCTCTACAGAGATTATTCCATCGGCTGACGTCATCAGCGAACGCGAGGTCGAAACTCCCTTTGTAACGTCACACACAGACCCTTCCTCTGCCGTGGGTGTGGACGAAACGGACTTTAATGCGGCGGGTTACAACCCTAATAATGCTGGTAAACGATGTCCGTGTTGCTTCTGTCATGACCCCGATGAAATGTCGCCTTTCATGATGTTCGGCGGGCGAGGATCACACTGTTGCATGATTGCTTGTTGTATGTGCTTAGTCCTCATCATTGTCTTATTCATTGTCTGCATCGTCATCGCCATTGTTTTTGGACTACGACACTTCGCAGCAAAACTCTTATCGGATATTTGACCTATGGTATACTGTATTGTTGTTGATTTATACATAAGCGTGCTGGTAATTTAAGAAGTTGGAATAGTGGTCAACTTAATGTATAAAGTCGCCCAGGGGCGGTGATTTCTTTTCATGACCGGGAAGGGGAGGGGGGGGGGTAATGCGATATTTAGGCTACTTGTACATTTTGAAGGATTTTATGCGAGGGAGAGTACACTGTAAAAAAGAATTTGTTCATTAGTAATTTTTACGTATTTTTTCCATGTAGAATTTACTTGAAAACATTAGTTTTGCCATTTACGCACTAAATTTAAGTCTTGCTAACTCAAACTTTCAATTTAGTAGAACATACATGTAATATTTAAGTAAAATCAAATACATAAGAACTTTAAGTAATTTCAGCTTGTATTAATTTAGTAATTTTAACTCAAAATCAAAAATTATACGTATTACTCAAACAATTTATGTTGATTATTCTTATCTTTTTAAAGTAAGGACCGATGCAGTGCGTAATAGAAATATTTACATAATTTATGAATATTCATTAAGACCAAATTAAACTCTTTTTTAAATAAAACAATTCTTTTTTTTGGTTGAATGAAAATTTAAGGACTTTAAAACATTTACTAATTCATTTAACATGGCTAAGCAAAGACAAGACAATTTTTAATTGTTACCCAGTTCAAAACAAATAAAAACTTAATATTTCAGGAAATTGTCAACCAATTTTCCTTTTAGGATGCTACGATCAAGTACATGTATATATAACATTTGGAGCCTTTCAATATGTGTCGAATTGAAGCGTATGTAATAGTTTGTGATGGTGGTAGATATATATATATATATATATATATATATACGGTTATATCTTAAATAGAAGTAGTGTTAGTGATTAGTGATTAATCTTAAATAGAAGTAGTGAATGATTAGTGGATGTTACTTGTTAGATTAGATGGGTACCAAATCGTGCAATATGTAATCCTATCATAGCTTTTTTTTTAATTATCTAAAATGATACTTAAATTATTTACGTTAATGTAACTCGATTTAACTGAGTAAAAATTTATTCAGCAAAATAAGTAAATTCTACTTAAGATGCCGTAGGTAATATTTACTTAATAAAAATAAGGCAATTCTTTTCCTCAATTTTATTGAGTTATTTCGACTATTATTTTTTTACAGTGTAGCGACCGACTGGGAAGATTTTTGCATTTTGTATTAGTCTAAACGCTACACTCTTAGACCTTCCAGTGCCTAAACGTGTGTCGCAGTCTTTGGTCAGTGTTTGCTATTGTGTGCACTTTTTCAAATTTTCCGGGGGCGATCCGTAGAGTTTTAGGGTTAATGTATGGCATCCATGTTAAAACTCTTGTTTTTTACACACCATATACTTGTATAACCCCACCAATCAAACTTTTATGTTCCACTGCGCCATACGTACTGTTTGCAATATCCAACATTCAAATGTAGGCCTATAATAATTTTATATCATTCCATTTAAATGCTTTTTCTTGATCCAACATATTATAATATAATAAAATGTTGTAAGGCCACGCACTGAAATACCATGTAATCCAGAGTGTAAATGTCTCGTATATGGCGATTCTCACAGGTACATGTATTAGAATTTTTAGTCAAAGGGCCAAAAACCATCCCCTTAGACACAATCTTGAATGAAGTACTTTTGTTCAAAATATTAACTAAAAACACGATAATAACGGAACTTATTTTTAAATATACGTCTGTCTGCATAATTGTAAATGATGATTTTTCTATTTGCTCTGTTTGTCTGTGATCGCTGGGCCATTACCATGGTAACAAACCAAGACTTTCTGAATTTTAGAAAATACTATATTATAGTAATTTTGTGAATTATCGATAGAAGGAGTCGTAAGATATCAGAGGGGTTTGGGACACCTTCTTTTAATTTTAAAAGTCACATGAAGTTCATATAATAAAGTCAAGATTTGCGTGTGTATTTCTGATTATTTAGGTATTAATATATTTACATAATATGTAATTGCATGGCATGAACACTGTCTCTAGGTCGATTCAAATACTATATAGAAAACCAGTAACTCGTGATTAATAGTATTTAATAAAAAAATATTGAACGAATTTAATAATATAGCACGCTGTTTAATTAGTATATAATGTGTGAATCTTCAACCCAGCCTCTCTAAAGTATATTAGACTTGTTGAATGGAGTGAGTATTAAATAGAAACGATAACATGTGAACAAGCAAAGTGTCATTAAATGACTGTTTCCCATGATTTGCCGATTGGTGTTTAATCTGAAATATATTATGTAAAGTTATTGATACAGGAAAGTAAAACCCACGAACCGTGTATCATTGAATGTGTATGTTATAGGAGTCGATTTAGTTGGAAATATTGACGTTCGTTTTATTTGTAACCCATCCCTGTCCAGCTTTAGCGATATGTAAAATGATTTCACCGTTTAGCAATCTGATTTATTAAGAATGAGCTGCAAGTAGAGGCAGAATGTGAAACTATTATTTTTAATCGTTTTTTCTCTACTTTTATTCCTGTATAGCTAGTTTTTTTTATTATTTTTTTAATATTTGTTACACCAGAAATCCTGAAATGTCGCAGATATTGTCATACTTTCAAAAAAATGTATTAAAAGAACACGTTATTAGGTCAGGTGCTCCGAAATTCACTCTGACTTGTAAATAAACAAATCTTTGCAAAGTCAACCCAATCTGATATGATGTATATTTTTTAGGTAAAATTAGTTTCCAAAGTTGCAACAGTTGTAGGTTGCGAGATCATGTAATTGATGTGGACTATTGATCAAATATGAAAATACACTGAACTTAAACTTGATCGTGTAGAACTGTTCATTTTTGTGAATGTTTATTTGGATTGTGTACACATTCCCTATCAAGTGTAACATTTACGTATTTTAAGAAGGGGTGGATCAAGGATGGACCGACAGTGGGATGGCGGGAATTTCCTGGTCATGCGATTGCATTGTGAAATAAACGGTGTAGAATCGATCAGAAAAGGTTGATCATGTAGCATATAAGTATTGGTGTGTAACGCAAGGTTCTTGATTCATCAAAATGACCAGAAATTTGACCACATTAAAGTAACAAACACTGTCGATTTTTGCACTCTCGCAAACAATGCCTCCTATTCATCCAAGCGTGAACACATACCACACAAAAATGATACCAAATGATTTGGGATAAAACACTCTTTCATGAGATGTATAATAATTTACTGTCCATAGATGATTTAAAAAATAATTAGCAATTTCCTAGGTGTGAACTTTTTTTTGACTCACACGGTATGGTACTGTACAAACATGTGCATGGCATAAAAATCGGACCTTTTTAAAGCTTTTACTTGTCATAGCCATGCTTTCAAGGAACATTTTTAATCTGCATAATAACAATGATAACGATCACAAATTATTTATCACCTCTCCCCAGAACTCGACCTTCTCAGAAAAGTAGCTGAAAAGAAGAAAAAAAGAAGGAAATAAAAGGTCCTTAGACATTTCCTCAGAACCGTACTATCATTTAGAAATATTTAGAAGGGTTAAAACATCCAAAATGTCTTTAAGCCCCAATATTGTTTGCGGGAGAGACATGCAGGAAATGATTGCAAGAATTATTTAGCCCGCCCCCCCCCCCCTCCTAAAGCCCACACCCATCCCGCCAACCATTATTCTAAAACCGATCTCGAGTTTGAGAGTGCATTGTCTTCCGAGTCCAAAATATCTTCCATGGTTTATGTCATAATCATAATTCATTTTGAAAAAAAATCACATACTGACACACAAGAAATAAGTAGATAATCGCAAAATATAAAACGTTGTATTAGATCATATTTTGTGAATTTCATGTATTTTTCAAAGAATCATGAGTGCATGTAAAGTTTTTAAATTCATGACAGACATATATGGGTAATCATTATGTTTGAGAAATAAATGAAAACAGTGATTTTTTTCATTTTTACAACGTATGTATGTTCTCGAAAATCACTCCTCTAATCTTCAACTTCTTAAAAAAAATTCAAACTTTGAACAAAAAAGAAAAAAAAGAAAATAGGTGGTGACCAAAACAAAGCAGGTGTACGAGACGGAAACATTCTAATGTAATATGGAGGAAAAATCTAAATACATCAGTTTGTGAGCATGACAAAAATTGTACTATTTGAATAAAGGGAACGGGTTTTCCTCAAGAATAAAATCTGATTCAGAATATCAATAAAACTACCGTTTAACTGATAGGAGTCAAATAACAAAAAATACAAACGGCCAGTACTTAAATCATTCCACTGACCGAAATCCAAAAGCAATATAAAATAGGAGGACATTTTTTTTGGCTGTTTAATGCTAGATAATAATAATAATAAAATGATAATAAATCATATAGTCTTACACATACATATATGTACATTCTTTATTTTAACGTACATAACACCTCTTATATTCGTCAGATTTTTTTCTTTCTTTCTGTATATTTCTTGTCGAACAGATATCTCAAGAATAGCAATTGTATTTTATTTCAACGTTATCACAATGGTAGACCCTATTAAGAACTGGACACACAAAACTTTCCAAGGTCATTTTCATAATGTGACGTCGTCTAAGCGCCATTATGTGAATTTCGCATATCTGTAATATCTCTATAACCAAATTGCATGACCATTTTATATGTAATATTATGACACTTCAACTTATTGTGCAGCATGTGAACAAATTAAACAGCGCCCGCTCAAAACTTTAAAATGCTCAAAATCGTATCAAATTAACTATGCATATGTTTCAGGCCAGAACTTCATTATAGTATTTAAATTAGTACATAACACACACATACTTTTACAAATTACAAGTCTAATCTTCACTTTGTAAGTGAATTTATGTAATCGATCTCCGCCGGGACTCTGCTTCTTTACAGCTTATAGTCTACTGCATGAGATGGAAATTCTTATTCAATTCAGAATTAAGTTGTTCCCACTTCAATGATATTCACCACACCAGTTGTTATAGTTAGCGAATGTTGGAGTAGTTGTTCTTCTTCCTTTTCCTGACGATGTAGAAGGTGAATCCCCCTAGAGCTACTCCTGCAATGCCCGCAATGCAGCATCCCACGATGAGTCCTGTATTACTTCCGCTCGACTCGCCGCTGTTACACTCATGAGCTGAACAGAAAAAATTGTAAAACGAGCATGCCTTTTTAGGAAATATATGTGAAGTATTCGGTATAACAAGAACGAACACCCCCCCCCCCCCAACAAAGGTAAAACAAATAATAATTATAAGCACATAAATAAATGTGTTTACTCAGAATTAGTTTCGATATTAACGGATGAATCTGAAGTGGACCGGATAGTATCTGTGTATTAACGAAGGAAACATAGATGTAGGCATAATTAAGTTTCAGTTCGCTGTTACACTCATGAGCTGAACAGAATCATTACAAAGAGATAAAGCTAATATTATTTAAAGTGGCTCGGTAACATTTTTTGTATGAAATATAACTTATTTTATTTCTTCTACTGTACTAACCCCCTAACATGCAAACAATCCTGAAACATTTCTCAAACCGCGAATATATTTATGTTTTTGTTAAGGCCTCACTGTACAACCATAGGTATTTAATTTATTGTTTGTTGTTTGTTTTCATTATTCTTTAAAGATGAATGGCTTACCGCCCCCGAGTCCGCACCCATCTCCAGTGGCCTGAACAAACGGTTGAAGGATCGGAGAAGAAAGCTCAATCAAAGCAGTGCCTAGATCGAAGGCTACGGTATCACATCTGTAATGTTCGCCAAGTGGTACGGAGAAAAACTCCTTTTCCACATTCTGTGTGTCGATAATAACTGTGAGAAGATAGGTAGTGTAGAGGAGAAAACTTATGATAAAAAGAAATTGGGAATGAGTAATGTAAAGAACCTAACTAAAAAGTATTTGTTATTAGAACACGGTTTTACAAATAATACAAGATACGATTCTTTGAAAGGTTAAAGCGCCGCAATGGCAGCACAGCTAAAGCCGGGGTAATAATCTCCAAGTTTGGAAGCGCTTAGTGATTCTAATAAGCGCTATATAATAACTTAGTATTATTATAATTATTATTACAATAAAATGGCAAAAAGAGGGTTAATATACATGTACATGAATATATGGATAACGATCATATCAGATAAATATAAAAGTCAATTAAAACTATTACAAGTAAGATTGGACTTATATCCATGCATCCGATGTAGACATATTATGCAGTACGATCATCCCCATGGGCCCGACCTGAAGACATGTTTTAATACGTGATTTAATATCTCCCTTGTCATACACAGACACACACACAAACAGGACCACGTATCCAGGCACGATATAAATTATTTTGTAAAGTAGGGGTTTCTCAAACTAGTATTAAAGATAACTTTTCGTTTATGCAATAGAATCCTTAAACTTTCGTAAAACGTTGGTTCACGTATATATTCATTTTCTTTTTTTGATTTGTTCTGCTACATTCATGATTGTAATTTGACTTTTTAGTTACCGAATAGGGCCTCATCGAACACCACCACTACTGGTGAAATTGTGCAACCCCGTATAAATCTCATAAATAAATATGTAATTAATAAAAGGATGATCCTATTTCGTTTCAGTTTCTTAATTCGTATTTCATTTTCTCACATTTTAACAACGATTCAACTAAATGGTACAGACAAACATGACCTTTATTGACATAGACTAGAATAGAAAATTAATCCCTCAAATTAATAACTTTTGATCCCCTGGCTCTACCTCTCCTTTAATATCCTACCTCCTTCTAATGTCATCAAATCAAAAGAGACTCTGCTTAAGTAGTATTTGCCTCCCTCTGTGTTGAAACTGAGTTGTATCTGCCAAATGTTCTCTCCGGAAGGAAAAGAAAGCGTAAACAGTGCACTGTTTTCAGAACATGCTGAAGTCGCGGGTAATGCCGTTTCTGGTATGTCCACCTTCACTGCATTCTACGTGAGAGAGAGAGAGAGAGAGAGAGAGAGAGAGAGAGAGAGAGAAAGAGAGAGAGAGAGAGAGAGAGAGAGAAAGAGAGAGAGAGAGAGAGAAGAGAGAGAGAGAGAGAGAGAGAGAGCGAGAGGGAGAGAGAGAGAGAGAGAGAGAGGGAGAGAGAGAGAGAGAGAGAGGAGAGGGGGGTTGGGGGGGGGGGGGCAGAGAAAGGTAGATAGATAGAGAAAGAGAAAGAGAAGGAATAATCATAATCAGTTTTTTTAAATAGTCGGCCAACCATCAAATTATATTCTATTAGATTTTTGGAAGTAGTAACGTTTCGCGATTTTGCTCTTATTATCTGTTTTTCCAGAAACATGTTGTTCTTCGAGATCCACAGCGCAAATTTTGAACAACAGCAAAAGTCGATATATCTTCAAAGACATTTATATCATTCTGAGATTAAATTATGACGGGAAAGGGGCGCTATATCTCTCAAAATCTTGCGTCACAAAATTCTCCCTGAGGCAAAAACCCCTATTAAAAGAATTGATGAACGTGGGTTTGATTTTTTCAGTCACCTCTTGAAATGTTTGTCAAATAATTGGAGTTTTGCTCTTTCATCAATAAAATGGTATTTTTATAGGATTCTGACTCTGACGAAAGTAAAAAAGTAGAAAAAAATAGTTCCATGAAATTGTCTTCTAGAGTGAAAGAGATAAATTCTAATGAAAGGAAAAGTAAAGGGGATGTATAAATTTCGAGGAAAAAATTGCGATATCGCTAGTGACGGCCATCTTGAAGGTTTAAAACTCAAGCGTCCAACATGAAATATTATCTTGCTCTGTCCTTTGTACTTTATTATGACTGCTTTTAACAATTTCTTGGAGAGGAAAACAAAAAACACTGTTTGCACGTTCCTTTCTCGCCTTCATGTAATAGAGTTTATTCTATTATGGATACATCCGCGGCGTGTTATAAAAGGCATGAAATGAACTGGATTTCCTATCATTAATCGTTTGATTGGAGTGTTTTCCAATTGTTCCCTCCAAAGCATGGCCTTAAAGGGACTCGGGAACATTGTTCAGATGAGAGATAGTGGTGCTAAGATAGTGACTTCAATGCTAATCTGATCATCTGAAAATTTAAGTGAAAACGGACCATTATTAATGATACAAATTGGGAAAAACTGATCTGATCGATTCCTTAATTCTCCCAACTATATTATTACAATTTAAATACATTTTAGGTGAATGTAAATCGTCACAAGCAATAAATTGTCTCTACATATCATTCCAGACATTTTAGTGTTGACAGATCTGTAATAGCCTGTTTTATGTCTTTTTTTCATGGAAAAAACGGTTGGGCGTGATTAACAATAAATAGTTAGGATAATTTATTGTTAATCACGGTTAGAGGGTGTTGCACGGTGATACCTTCAAAGAAAACCATAGATATCTTCGTGGATTGGGAATTTTTTTCAGGATCTTTTGCATGTCAGAGGGTTATTACAAAGATTAAGCAATTTTTTCATCAACCTTCAACAATGTTACCGAGTCACTTTAAGAGCTGATGATGATGATGATGATGATTCACAGCATTTGTATGGCGCCATATATCTGTTTAAAAAAACATTCAAAGGCGCGGGCTCCCCCAATAAAGTTAGCATTTAAACGTCTGAAGAAAGATGTGATTTTTGAGTGAAGCTTTGAAGTGGTCAAGGTTGTCAATTTCGCGAATAGATGATGGGAGAGAATTCCGACAAGTCTAAGTACACACTAAGTATACACAAGTGTAGTTTCGAGTTCCTTTAGGCACCTTTTGAACTATTAATGGTTCACTGTACACACTTGTGAAAAAAATGAAACAATGTCTTTAAGTGTTGGATCTTTTGAGAGCTGCATATAACGCTATGCACTCACATTATGTAATCATAATCTAAATGTAGTTTTTAGTTCCTTTAGGCACCTATTGAACTATTAATGGTTCACTATAGTTAACTATACACCATTGTTTAGTACGAGAAGATGAATAAAAGATATACAATATAATGTTTTAAGTCTACACCCTTTGTTCTTTGAAAAAATAAATATTGGTTTGGTTATTAGTATGTATATTTGTGCTTGGATTGTAATTTATTTTCTGTCTTGATTTACTGTACTGCCTGTTATTGCTGGTAGAAAGCATATACTTCCACATTTGTGGACAAGAATAAATTGTCAATCTAGCAATACACTCAGCCTGGATTTCAATAAATATAATATATAACAAAAAACAAAACAAAAACGTTAATGCTACTTTATCATTGACCAATCATAATCAGGAAAAGAAAAAAGGTCATTATTTTCAAGTCATCAATTTTGTTTTCAGATATTTCTAAGAAATTGAAGGTGAAATATAGTGTAGACCAAAATTTGAAAAAACACAAACTATAAACTCTTTTTTATACACATTATAATGACCTTCCTTCACTAATTTGGTTTATATATGTGTTACTTAACGTCCATAACTCGAGTACTTGTACATTCATTAACAATTTGATGTTACTAATGATAAATGTACGTGTCCTTAAACGCGTGCATTAGTATCTACAATCTAAATCGGAAATCAACATATTTTCTATAGTTTCGATCATAATTTACAGAGAGATGCCTTCGAAATGGCCAGTAAAAATCTTGAATAGCATAAAATACAAGCAATCATTAGTATAAGCAAGGGCGTGTACATATAGGTGGTAATTACCATCCCCGACCTATTTCCTCTTATCACAATATGGTCAATCAGGGTGCTTTCAGAATGGCAAGGACGATAATAAAACTCCTTGAAATACAATTAGAAAAATGGAGTAGAGTTTATAGAGGATTAAGAAGCAGAGGAAGTTACACATCTGGACGCAGTGGCGTAGCTACTGGAGGAACATGCCCCAAATCGAATGGTGAATAAATATCAAGAGAAAAACAAAGAAAAAAAAGTGAGAAAGGACGGACCACCCTTTTCCCCCTCCAAAACTAGTATTAAACAGCTGTGCCCCCCCCCCCCCCCATCACCAGGGTTCACCATCAATGGGTGGACCCACGCTAAGTCACTTGCATGGAGGCAAACTATACCAGGGGCGGATCTAGGGGGGTGCGGCGGTTTAACCCCCCCCCCCCCTTGGGCGGCCAAGTGAAAAAAAGGGTGAAAACGAAGGGAGAAAAAAAGAAGAAAAAAAGTAAAACGGCGCGATTTTTAGGAAAATCCTGGATCCGCCACCGGGTCAACCCCCCCCCCCCCCCCTTTGGCAAAAAGCTAGATCCGCCCCTATTTACTATCGATACTCATTCCTAACAGGCACCGTCTCCGCCATCATGATGTTATATGAAAAACATACTTCAGCAACAACGCCCTATTTTCATTTAAAGTGGAAATCTTAAAACCTTTTTCAAGTTTAATCAGATTTAACCAATTCAATTTTATTCTGGTAGAGATAACGTACATTACTTCCTTGGTAGGTGATGGTACCAGTAAAGGACATGAGCATGCAGATATTTCCATCAGTCTGACGAACCATCCACGTAGCATCAGCACAAGGAGTAGGTTCTGAAATCAATCACAAAAAAGTGTAAAGAGACAATAATAATAATAATAATAATAATGATAATAATAATAATAATCTTTTAAAGTCCACTCCAAATTTTAATAAGTTACACCGTAAATTGGAATTCTTTTTGCCCAATTGATCGTGAGCCCGGCAGCCACTGAGCAGCGCCAGATCGACGTTGCTCTATCCCAAGATGCATTTCTGTGTTGTATAATGATACTACTATTGAGATTGCTTTTCGATAAAATTTAAAAGGTCACGCGAGGTAATACACCTAAATATCAGAACAGGTGGCTACAATGATGATGATGATGATGATGATGATAATATTTCTACTACTGAAATAATAATATATACTACTACTGCTACTTCTATTACTACTACGCCTACTATATTATTACTACTACTACTACTACTACTACTACTACTACTACTACTACTACTATTACTACTACTACTACTATTACTACTACTATTAATGCGCATGATAATAATATTGATAATAATAATACTAATATAAGATAATGATAATGTAAATAATTATAATAATACAAATAATAGTAATAAGAAATAATGATGATAATAATAATAATAGTAGTATTCTTAATAATAACAATAACAAAAATGATCACTATTCGTGATTATATAATGATGATGATAATGATGTTTTGGGTTTTCAGGTTTTCAAAGAGAGTAGGGTTACGTTCTAGGAAATAAACAAGTTACGTTGAGGTTTGATTTTTGGAATAAATTAAACTCATACGGAGAGGGTAGACTAGAGTGGGAGACTTCAAAACATACGTGGTTCGGTGGAGCTTGCTCGGGTTGTCGAGTTATCGATGATTGTGGTTCCGACTTCTGTGATGATCTCGGTGGAAATACCCGTCACGATCCCGGTACTCGGATTGACAGTCGTAGCAGCCGAAGTGAATGCGACCCATACAACAAGCAGGATCAAAAGAGATGGCCCTTCCATTTTAGCTCACCAATGGATGTCCTACAAGAAAGTAAGAGAATGAACCAGGGACAGTTCTACGATTGTCTGGAGCATATAGGACTGAAAAGGTGGGGAGGGGCAAATCTTTCCATACTAAAAACAGAAACAAGATTTCGAAAATCTCGCCGGCCATATCTAATCTCTGGCCAGTGTAATGAGCTCAAGAGTGGCTGAGATGGATGGTACCAAAATATCAATCGGGCTGCCCAATTTTGTAGACGTTGCACATGATCCCCTTTTTAGTCGATGGAATAGTAGAGAGCAGCCCATTACAATAATCAATACGGGATAGAACCATTATTTCTGTCTGTTTATCTGCTACCATTACCATATATCAGTTTAGTAATTTGATGATCTTGACTCTACTTTCTCTTAGTTTATTTTGGTATTGTATTGATGGAATTGTATTATTTTTGTCATCTTTATTACGTATTGTACTTGTCATACCTTTCGTTTGGCTCACTATTGTATATTTACTGTATTTATAACCGTATTGTATAATTTGTAAACATGAACAGTTTTGGTCCTTGGACCTTTGAATCATGTATATTTATATGTCTTTTTAAACCGAAAAAAAAGGAAAGCACAGCATTATAGCATGTAGACTGGTCAATAAACTTTTGTATTCTAGCAATATTCCTTTAATAAAACGTAACCATACTTCAGATGTGAGAAATATGATGAGACATCGCCATGCAACGCCAGGTTTCTTACTGCGTTTGAAGGGCTAATGAGTAATGAGTGGCACCAACATCAAAATGAACACTTGGAAGACAACACAGATTGTGAGCTGAAGCAGCAGCTGAAACTTCAGTCTTTGAATCATTTAATTTAACTTATTTACTACCATCCATTGCCTAATATTTGAAATACAACTTAGAATTTTGATAAGTGTTTTATCCAGAGCTCCTGGAGTCTTAGGATCAAATGAAACATATATCTGTATGTCATCAACATAAAGATGATAATTAATACTATGATGTCGGACGATATCTCCAATATAGGGAGAGTATAGATTGAGTATCCTATGGTTTCTACTACTGATCTATGATGGGAGAGTGGTAGGTCTATGGTTGACCTAACACTTGTTCTTTTAAATAAACGAGATATAAATATTTGAGGATCAATCGTATCGAATGCGGCTGGTAGATCTAACAGTGCCATAAAAACTACCTGGTTTGAATCAACAGCAAACATTGTGTTTGTGTTTGTTTTAATTACAGCTGACTCGTTCCTGTGACTTGACCTAAGCAGATTAAGAAGAATCTAAAAGGTTTTTAGATTCAATGTGATGCACTAATTGTGTGCATGCTGCTACAGAACATGCCGAATCAAGATAAACAAATTTTCCTAAAATACTGAATTAGAAGAATTTTTAGACCTTTGAAAAGGAACGTGCGTATCTTAATTATGGTCTTTCATCATAAGAAGGTCGCAAAAATCAACCGAATGCAATTTCAAAAGCCTTGTCAGTCACGCTGTGAAAAGCACAAAAGGATGTATAATCCGGACGTCATTCCAATGGCATATAAATTATTGTCTTGAAATCAAGTTACAATTGTATTATCTGTCAGAATCATATTCAAGAAAGCAGGTCAATATTATACTCGTCACTCGAAAGGAGCTGATGTTCTCTGCTGTTGAAATAGTGAGGAGATGTATTTAAGGATGCATGGTTAACATAGCTTTAAAGTTTGAACACGTATCTGGGATTGAATTATGTTGGTATCATGTTTTGCGCTATTTCTTTTCTAAGAAGCAAGTACTAACGATGTACAAATATACGAGTAAGGGGCGTTATATAGGCATTGCAATATGTTTATCCGCGCACGAACTTTCCAGTTGCTTGTTTGCATACTGTCGATAACAAGTCAAATCGCTCGTCTGTGCCCATACATGAGATTACACTTTGTACTCTTGAGCCTGGCTTGAACCATTGGCGGCGGTAATAAATGGGGGTGGATGGGGGGGGGGGGGGGGGGGGGGGGAGGAGGGCACCTTCTGAAGGCAAAACCAGTATAGTAAAATGATAATAAACCCTTTTAATACAAAATCATCCCACATTTTGTGGTTTAGGTCAATAACTTTTTTGCAGGGTCCTAGAAATATTCAAGAGGCATGAGCATTATTAGTGAGAAAAGAAAGAAATTCATCATCCACTAGGACCATTTTTGGCATGTTAATATTTTTATGCCAGGAATTTTATAAAGGAAAATAAAAAAATTGGCAACAAATATGTAGAGGTTTAAAATCATCGTTTTCCGATAAAAATTAAATGATTTTTTTTCTTCTCGACGAATTGCTCTCCATGAATGTTGTTTCCAAAGACCTTAAATTCTTAACCCTTAGGAAACCATGTCCTGTAAGGGTTAAGTACATTGGCTCGCTAGGTGCCTTGTTTGTTCCAATCATTGGCGATCAAGGAACTCTGCCTAATCATATCTCTAGTTATATGTAACATGTTAGAACTGTTGTTCCCAGTCAGCCAATTGCATGGGCCAATGTATTTCATAAACGCTATCTCCCTCTGTTTCTCTTTCATTGAATTTTGTTGGCCATATCTTCTCATTTACTCAGTTAAAACTTAAAAGCAACGTTTGATGAATTTCAAACGAGAAAAAAACGAAAACAATTTTTTTTTCGCTGAGCAGAAGTTTTAAATAAAATTCAAGTAGCAGTGACATCAGAATTTGTGAAACAATATCGACACACAGGGAGCAGAGCCCGATTATTAGAGTGGGCAGGCCGAAACGAGTGAACTTCACCAATCGCCCAACATGATTTTTAAATACCTGGCAGCTCTCTAACACTTGGTTTGGCGGGGGAGAGAAAGGTGGCTGGAGCAATGATTAGGTCATCAACATGCATGTCTTCTTCATCTTGATCTTTATCCAAAAAGGGGGCATAGCGTTGCTCCTGAATTCATGTTTGTGTAAGGAACTCACACTAAAGTACCCAATCATCTCATTATTTGATTATTATAACTTGCCTTTGAAGGTGGGACCTGGCGCCCCAAAGATTTTTTCTTTACAGCAATTCCCCAAAATAAATCGACATGACCCTACTGGGGAGACTGGTTGATGGTTTGTCCAACTAGGTCCAGAGATGCACCCCTAAAGAAAACAAAGGGGGAGCACACACAGGGCCCCTTCCCCCAAAAAATATAAAACCGAAGAATGGTAAACCAAACTTCTAAATGATTTGAAAAGCTGGGGTAATCTTCAGAGTTGTCATTTTACCACAAAAAGAAGAGTGGTTAAGATTTTATGACGTCACTAGCTGACGTATGTACTTAACTTCCCATCTGTCCTTACTGAATAGAACAAAATTCTTATAAATTCAATCATATATAATTTCTACAAGGTAAAGCTTACCATTGTTTTTCGAAATTCGAATACAAAATCATCACTCAAAGGGAAATTTACCAAGATACAGCCACTATTACCACATTGCATGACATAAATTTGATAATTTCCTTAAATTGGCCTAGTTGGATTAAAATGTATTTATTTTCGCCTGGTATATACAAAATGTACTCAACACAAAATTGTGTCATTACACCGGATAAAAAAAAAATATAAAGCATTTATTACTGATTACAATGGACAAACCTCACTTGAAAGAAGTGTCAGAATAACGCGTGAGAACAACCAAGAATGACAAATCAAGAATAGTTCTAGTGGAGAAAACTTGCAGATCGATAAAGGAGTGAGCTTGAAACTATATCAGGAAAGTCTACTTACCTTTCTAAAATCGGAAGACGAGTTAAATGTATCAATGTAGACAAATTGTTGAATATCAACGATTTCTGAATACAACGCCACACTAGATAGTAAGATACCGTTTGCTATTAACTACTTTACAAGGTGTAAGACGGTTTTCAACAGGTGGTTTGGTTTCTATTTATAGCCATTATCATGGCAAATAAAAGCATGTGATAATTCGTAACTCCGTGAGTAGTAAACATTGACTGTTGAGCCTTTGCTAAGCTGTATAATTTTAACTGAACCATTGTTTATTCTCATCGATACTCCATACAACTATGCTTACCACACAAACACACACGCATACACACACGCACACGCACACATGTGTGAGGTAGTCGAGCGGTGCCGTAAACGTTAAGCTCCCTGTCTTCGCCTACAAACTGAATCTGCAAACCTCGGTTCGAAACTGAGTCACGTCTTTTAGATTGTGACATTTATTTCGATTCCAGGGCCCTGTCGTAGAAAGAGCTGATATCAAACGCAACTTATTTGCAATTGATATCAATCGCAATTATATACCTCACTTAAGAAATCCAGCCATCTGATTGGTCGAAATTGCATTCATAAACTTTAACTATTTCTGTAAAATTCCCAGTAACCATGGTTAAAACAGTTCTAAAATCCCAGTAACCATGGTTACCGGGAAAATAGTTACCCCATAGGTTTACATGTTAAAAAATGGTTTGAGCGATTGAGGATACCGTACGTGTGCGAAGAATTGGTCGGTATTTTCATACAAGACAAGACAATTCCAAACAAGACAAAAAAGGCTCAAGAAACTCTCCCAAGATTTCAACTTATCAAATGCAAGACTCGCTGACAGCAAGAACAACAAAAAGGGTACGTGAAATTATCCATAAACATGTTCGTTTAGTTGCTGAAAAAGCATAGACGTAGACTATAGACGAAAATAGATCTAGTTGTCAGGGTGTCTGATCGCGCACCCGATGTTGTGTGTTAAAATTCTTCTCATAGAGTTTGCACGCAATGCAGTCGCTATGCAGTCTACGTGCATTGCGCGACCATGCAAAAAAAGTCAAGTTTTTTTTTTTCAATTCGAGATTCAAACCTTTATCTGTTGTGATCCTGAAGGTGATACTCAATAAGTGAGGTGTCATATGAAAGTCATTAATACTATACTATGTACATAAGGTGTTGATTTGAAACAAAAAAGTGCTCACTACACCCCCCCCCCCCCCATTTGAATCGCTGAATCGCTCCCTCGGCATGTCTCACTCTCACCTCTGGCTCAAAGTTGGCAACCCTAACCCCCCCCCCCTTCCCCCTAAAAAAAGCTCGTACGGGCTTGATAACATCTTTACAATTGTTTAAAGCCATTTTAAATTTAAAATAGAGAAAAGTCGGCTACAATATAGGGTACCACTCAAGCGCAAATGAGAGGGAGAGGGGTATAATTCGGAAGTTACACGTGCAGATCAAACGAAATTATATTTAAAAAGTCACTCATCATTGTGTCATATGTCGTAATTAGTGTAGACCAATCTTTGATTTAAAGATAAACTTTAATACTGGTAATGCGATGCATTGTGAAAGAAAAGGTGTGGAAAGGATCAGAAACAGTTGATCATGTAGCATGTAAGTATTGGTGTGCACTGCAAGGTTCTGGAGTCATCAAAATCATAATAAATTTGACCGAGTCTTGGTAAAGTAACAAGCACTGTACACAGAAAGCAATATATGGGACAACACACGTGATGTCGGGGCTAGTACTACCTTGATTTCCTTGTCTTTCTATGCTCATTACTCCGCCAGTATACATTTTCTTCCGAAATTGTTTGGCACATGTCATTTATTTGTAATCTTGAACATTCAGTGTAAGTTTCGTTTGATTCTGTGAGAATTTTTTTTTTTTTTTTTTTTTTTACCAGAACTGGAGTTTATCTTTAATTTAAGAAAAATCAGAAGCTCGTGTATGTAAAGAGGTACTACTTGCTAATCATTAAGACGCTGAGAAAAGGTCGAGTCACTATAAACCTCTTTAATATCAGGGATGATGATCAGCCTATTATGAAATTTGTCATTTGGTTGTGACAGAAGCAATTTTTGTTGATGTTCACCATGAGGATCGTGTCAAAAGTCACCCAGCCTTTAATAAGTGAGTGGGGATTAACATGGAGTTACTAGCAGAATAAACCCATATAGGCCTATGCTTATCGTCCTTGTGCTCAGCTTCTTACTGAAAAATTCCTTTCCTTCAATAGTCAGCCCTTTCAAATAAAGTGCATTCGATACAAAGAGGGCTGCTGGGCCGGAGTTGACCATTGTTTTCTTGCTCAAGGGAATAGGCAGAGTGGGGGGGGGGGGGGGGGGGGGGGGACTGGGAGGAGGGGAGGAGAATTCAATGGGCGCATGTAACGTGTGGCTGTAGGAAACTCTGCGTTTGGTCGAAGAAGTAAATATTAGATTATCGTACAACATCTCTATGCACTGTGGAAAATAAGGACGCGGTTATAATTACATTTATCCAGCTCTCTCTCTCTCTCTCTCTTGCTTTCTTACCCTCACAATTCCCCTTTGCTGTCTTCTGACTTTTGCATCCTACGATGTTGTATTTCATATACTGGGTTTGTGCCGGTTTTTATGCAATTTCTGAATGATACAATCCGAAAATTTACTTGCTACTTGTTTTCTTACTATATTTATTATATCTAATTTGATAGGAAGCTGTCCAGACGAAACCTTCTCTTGTTTTTGTTTTGTTTACAGCTGTGCCTTATTCTGTTTTGTATTGATTCATTTCACATGTATATGTTATCCCAATTTATGTATTATATTCTACATGAAAGTGCATGTTTTTAAAGATGGAATTTAATAAACTGAACTAAACCGAACTGACCCATAGGAAAGAAATGAGCCTGCCGCATACTCCTGCGGCAGACTTGCCGCAGATCTGCAGCAGACCTGCCGCAGACAGTCATCTTTTCACATGCAAATTAGTTTTGCCGCAGACTTGCCGCATACTCTTTCAGTATGATGAAGAGTCTGCGGCAGGTCTGCCGCAGACTTGCTGCAGACTTGCCGCATACTCTTTCAGTATGATGAAGAGTCTGCGGCAGGTCTGCCGCAGACTTGCTGCAGACCTGCCGCATACTCTTTCAGTATGATGAAGAGTCTGCTGCAGACCTGCCGTAGACTCTTCATCATGAATATTCATATCTCATATAGACCTGCTGCAGACCTGCCGCATACTCTTTCATATCCAGTACGTGGCAATAAAGTATGCATGTAGAAGAACCAGTGACAAACTGATTGATACTTCATAATCGATATTGGCAATATCGATATTACCAATTAGGTAATTTTTTTTTTTTTTATGGTCAGTTTTTATTCTTTTCTCTCTTGAAACAAATTATAATCATAGTACAAATTACAATCATCATAACTCTCACTGCAAATGTGATGACATTATAAATCAGTATAAATTTTTGTCTTACAAACGGCTTCAAAAGAAACTTACATAGTTAGTTCCTATACATCATATTTGAAACAAAAATTCATATTTTCAAAGAAAACATATGCAGTTGTATAATCCAATTTTTTTTTTGTTTTAACAATGTAGCAACTTATACTTCTTTTTATACTGTTGTCCTGAGAGAAAAGTTTTCTCTTTTTGTTAACCCTACCCTACCCGACCTCTCCCTTATCCCCATCCCCCCCCCCCCCTCTTAACCGGTGGACGACTGGCTCTGGGTTCCAATTGTTTGTCTAATACTCAGGTTTTCCCATTTAGAAAAATGAATAGTGAGAGTTCCCCTCATTGCTGCCAATTTCCTTTCTTCTACTTTATCCCCTATTATACAATTCTTTATTTCATTAAAAGAGGGTGGTTTTTTAAGTTCTCTATTTCTATAAATCAGATATTTAACAAGAATTAAAACATGATTCATTAATTGATATTTTCCTTTATTTCTCTCCTCTTTCCCATACAGAATTTCCTCCAAACTACAGTTATGTATTTCAAAGTCTAAAAATCTCGTGCACATTTCCCACACTGATTGTGCAAATTCACAAGTATAGAATAAATGTTTATATGTTTCTTCATCTTTTTCGCAAAATGAGCATAAGTTAGTCGAGACAAGACCAAAACGGAAGAGGTGATGGTTTGTATATAATATATTATGTATAAGTTTGAACTGAAACTCTCTTAATCGACTGTTAAGTAATACCAATGTATATCGATATTACCAATTAGGTATATTCTATTCTCAATTGTATTAACTCCATCACATAGATCATTTGAAGTGTATTCAAGAGTAACATTGAAAGTGTAATAGGCTCGTACACATATATATACTAAATATGTATATTGTTTCTTGGTTAGTAATCATATAATCAATATATCTATTGCTAAAACGTGAATGTAATTGTAACATGATCAGACAAAATAATCTATTGGTTAACAATGGCAAAAGGAAAATAGAAATCACAAAAATGGTGTGCATTGTCTTAATTTGCTTAACAAATCATGATAAATGTATTTTTCTGTCACACGTGTAAAGTAATAATGAATATGCATGAGATGATTGGTTTCAATTGGTTTCAATTGGCCCTATTTGTTTGGTTTGACAGAAGCTAAAAAGACAATTAACAGTGCTAATTAACACAGGAATTTACAAGATCATGGGCTCAGCCTGCAACCTATATGGTACTGCATGTCCTACAAAATGGCCGCCTATAGCCTTGCTTCAGACTGTATAATTTCCCACTTTTCTGTGGTAGACCTGCCGCAGACTGTGCCTGTGGCGTACTGGTATGCGGCAAGTCTGGAGCAAAGTTTCGCCCTGCCGCAGACGGTTCCTGTGGCATACTAGTATGCGGCAAGTCTGGAGCAAAGTTTCATCCTGCCGCAGATCTGCCGCAGACTGTTCCTGTGGCATACTAGTATGCGGCAAGTCTGGAACAAAGTTTCATCCTGCCGCAGATCTGCTGCAGACTGTTCCTGTGGCATACTAGTAAGCGGCAAGTCTGGAGCAAAGTTTCATCCTGCCGCAGATCTGCCGCAGACTGTTCCTGTGGCATACTAGTATGCGGCAAGTCTGGAGCAAAGTTTCATCTTGCCGCAGATCTGCCGCAGACTGTTCCTGTGGCATACTGGTATGCGGCAAGTCTGC